AAATAGATGTAAGAATAGAAAATTGCTCATTATAGTGACTGGCCCAAAGTATAACCTGTATCAGGAGTCAGTATACTTCTGTAGAGTCAAATAATAAATATCGAGGTCTTGTCACTACTGTTCAATACTGCTGTTAAAGTACAAAAAAGGCCATGAAAATCCACATGACCGTCTTCCAATAAAATTTTACATACTGAATTTGAATTTCATGGAATTTTCACAGATCATTAAATGTTTTCAGATCCTTTTTCAACCTTTGAACAACAACAACAAAATATATTAGCTTATAGGCCTTAAAAAAAGTTGTGGGCTGGGCCTCTGGGCCATTGCTAACCACTACCCTCTATATTCAGTAGGCATTACCATGATATCTGTAATGCCTGTCTGCACATGTTCATGCTTGTGTGGTATGCTCACTAATGTGCATGCACACACAAGGCAGTGAAGGCCTGGGGATGATCTCAGGAATCTCCCTCGTAGCTAACACCCATTAGCCTCTGAGTGGAGGGTACCTGTACACACATGGTGCATACACCAAAACATGCACACACATACACACACACACACACACACACACACACACACACAGATTAAAATAATAAACAAATCTTTTAAAAATAGAGGGAGCAAACCAGGGCTTCCCCCATATGGCTCGTCTCACTAGATGGCTTGCTCTGGAGAGCCCCATCTCTGTCTTCTGATGGTGGAATTAGAGGGGGCGCCTTCCCAGGATTGTCTGGGTTCTAGGGATCACAACTTGGGTTTTCTCACTTGCACAGCAAGCTCTTTAATGTCCAAGCCATCGTTTCCCTGTAGCAGGCTTTCTTGGACCATCAGCCCCCAAATCATGACACGGAAACTTACAATTAATTATGAATGATCAGCCTTAGCTTGGGCTTGTTTCTAGCCTAATTTTGTTTTCTTAACTTAAATTAATGCATTTCTATTCATCTATGTGCTGCCCTGAGGCACGTTTACCTCATCTACGTACTGTCCCTCCTGCTTTTCCTGATTCTTCAGTGTCTGGCTGTCTGGGCCCTGTCTGGCTGGCTGGCTGGCTGGCTCCGCTTTTCTCTCTGCCTGCCAGCCCTGCCTACTTCTCCTCTGCCTAGCTATTGGACATTCAGCTTTTTATTACACCAATCAGGTGCCTTAGGCAGGCAAGGTGAAACAGCAACACAAACAAATGCAGGTAAACAAATGCAACATCTTTATATCGTTAAACAATTATTCTGCAACACAAACAAATGCAACACATCTTTACATAGTTAAACAAATATTCTATTCCACAGCATTTCCCCAGTCCTATGGACTATTTTAATAACCATCTAGAATAAGACTGGTTGTTCTCAAATGTATTCACTCTTCTGTGGTTAGAATGTAGGCTATTTCCAGTTCTCACACCAGGAACCATCGTCCAGTGAACAGCCACACAGTGAAGTCTTTGTACATGGAAGTTGACACCCATACCGTAAACGTATGTAACCGTGGCAACCAAAACGGCACACACAACATCTAGGAACTAACAGACGGAACAAGTAGCATCAAAAACTAATTTCAGACAACTCAAAGGAAAATCAACAGACAATACATATTGATACGCACAGATTTTACATCGGTAACATTCTGAGACCTTTGCAAGTGTGATGAAATTCAGTCCTCAATACAACCCTGGAGACACGGTATACAGTTAGTAAAGTCCTTGCTGCATAAACTGGAGCTCAGTCCCTCAAACCCGCGTTAAAGAAAGCCCAGCATCACCAGGCGGTGGTGGCACACGCCTTCAATCCCAGCGTGTAGGAGGCAGAAGCAGGCGGATCTCTACACAGCGAGTTCCAGGACAGCCAGGGCTACAGAGAGAAAACCTGTCTCAAAAATAGCGGGGACACAGTGGCATCCGCCTTTAATCCCAGCACTGAGGAGGCCAGCCTGATCTACAGAGTGAGCTCCAGGGCAGCCAGGGCTACACAGAAAAACAAACAAACAAACAACAACAACAAAAAGAAACACCAAAAACAAGCAGAAGCCGAGTGTGGTGGCCCCAGGCAGGTTCCTTGAGGCTCAGTGGCCAGTCAGACAACTCAATAAGGGACCTCCTGGCCAATGAAAGACCATGTATCAAAAGACAAGGCTGATGGTCCCTAGGGAATGACAATATAGGGTTGACCTCCGGCCTCCACAGGCTCTGGCACATGCACTCATGGAGAGGAAGAGGGAAGAGAGTGGAAGGGTAGGAATGGGGATGGGGGGGGCGGTGGTGGAAGTGAGGGGACCGGGAGAGGGAGAGAGAGAGAGATGACAGGAGTCCAGCTTGCAGCTGGAGGAAGGAGGAAAACCTCCCCTGCGGCCCTGCCTTCCACCTTGTTTGAGACCTAGTTTTCCTCCAGTGCTGCTGGGGATGCTCCCCTGTCCCCATGGGAACGCCGGGATAACAGATTTCAGGCTATTTCATCCTGCTTTGCGGAGCTGCAAACTCAGGCTGTCGCGCTGGTAAGCGCTTTACTCCTGAGCCACCTCTTCTTAAAAGTTCAGTAAGGCTGGGATCAAGCCAGGCCACAAGCAGAGGCCCTTGGGGACTGCTCCAGAGCCATCTAGAGCAGACTTCACTCTGGAACAGCGGGCTGCACCTCTCGGTTAGGGAGCCCGGAACTCTGATCACTCAGGACCTCGTTCTCAAATAACCGGTGCGCAAAATGGCACACAGTGGACACGTGGTGGGAAACGGACGCCCATTTAGCCTTCCTATTCGTCCTAGAACCTCCACCCCACCGACTTTTCATTTACTGTCATCGTTCTGCATTTCTTACCCAGAACCGTTGACCAGTATAAATACTGATTAAAGCATACGTCCATATCCCATTTTTTTTTTTTTTTTCCGTTTCTGGTCTCAAATCTAAGTGGCACATTCAAACGCAGCTTGGCCCTCGAGAGAGGCCCCGCCTCACCCCGGGCGTGTGCATTTCGGACAAGCAAGCACTTCAGCGCGCTTCTTTGAAATCCTGCCCAGTGGCTGGCGGGGAGGACCCTGGGGACCACGCGTCCCGCTGGGCGGCCGGGTGTGGGGGCGCAACAGCTCTCCGAGCCTTGGGCAGCTCTGCGGGGTCGGGAACCAGGGTCTGTCCCGGTCCCCTGCCCGCCCGCCCCCTGCGGGGGGCGATCCGCGGGCGCGCCTCCCCACTCATGCCCAAACAAGGCAGCGCGGGA